TCATCGGGGAGATCCGGCAAGAGTTCATGGGCCCGCCCCCCAAGCTTCGAGGCTTGGGTTGGATTTGGCAAGACAGCCCACTTCTCAGGAACAGAAGCTCTTCCCCCTGTGATCCCTCACACGGGTACTAAGCTGGGGCACTGGCTCGGAGAAAGGGCTTGGGGTGCGGGGTGGCCGAACCAAACACGCACACATGCACCGGCAGCAAGACTAAGGGAAAAAGCACGCTCAGCTGATCCCCTGTTGGCTGCGCAAACTCAATCAGTATTCCCCTGCCGTGTGGGGCAGTGCCTGTAAGGTCGCACAAAGCATATGTAAAGGGCAACAAAAGTAGAGTGGAAGGCAGGACAAAATTTACAGACTCACCATTCGCGCTGAGCTGTCCAGCCTTAGCACACAGAAAAATCACCAACAGACAACTTGGGTCACTGCTTCTCCAAGGAAGGTGGACTTCGGATGCGCTTTAACGTGATGTGCGAAGTGGGCGATGATGAAAGCTTGGTTCCGTTTGGTTTCGTGAACATAATGACGGCCAACTGCGTGTCCCAGTTCCTCACTTGGTGCCATATTTGCATTCTCGCATGCTGTAATTTTACGTGGAACGGGCCGTTGTTGTCTGCTTCATGAATTTCTCTTCTGCATCGCATCCTTCAGCTCAGCTCCATCTCTCACTCGGGTCTTCATCTGGACCCAAGACTCAGACACTAGACTCACCAGGCCCTAAGCCCCAAGCACCAGACCTGAAACCATGAAAGAAGATCCTGACTCGGAGGGATCCGCCTCCTGCAACTCTTGCTCCTCTTCCGAGTCCAGCGCCTCGACGCAATGTCAAGCTTCCTCTTCTCCAAGCAGAGAAGCAGAGACGGGGGGGGGGCCTCTGCTGCGGCTTTGTCTTGCCAAGCCTCTGCAAAGCGCACAGGAGCTCCCGACGTCACGGGGCACCGGGCCCGGTCGGGCCTTCTCCTGCTTTGCATAGCTGTTGTAATGCCGGGCATACTCCTGCTGCGAGGCGCAACGCACAGGCTCCGCCCCCAATCTTCCAAACGGGGCACCTCCCGCGCGTTCGGAACTGGCGACGGCGAACGCGCGGCCCGGGAGCGAGCCTCGGGGAGGCGGAGCGGCGGAGCGAGCCCTGCCCTAAAAGAGGAGGAACTGGCACAAAGCTCCCGAAGGGGCCGGTTCTCCGCTTGGCCCACTGCACCTGGCCGAGCCCCGCGTGGCGAGTACGCAAGCGGTGTCTCCTCCTGGAAGCAGACCGCTTTAAAGGATTCAAGCAACAACGCCCAATGAAAACATGTTACATACACCACAGCAACAATCGCTCTCCTTTCGCCGCGGCCTGGGCGGTACGACATCCTTTGGCTCAGGCGGCACTTCTATTCGAGGAGACTGGCCTTGTCAGGGACACATCGCCACTCTGCGCAGACTGCATACATCGCCACTCCGTTTGCAGCTGGGCAGTGTACCAGGCTCTTCTGTCACGCTTGATTCCTGTTAGCTGTGCGTCATGCGGACAACAAGCTCTCGGGGTCTCCACACGACAACCCACAGCCTCAACTTGGCCAGCTGATTTTTTCTCCAGGTACTCCTCAAAGCTCCGGTCGATGCTTCTGTACATCTTCTTGGTCAGGCCCTCATCAAGCAATAGCGTGTCAATGCGCATTGCTGCTCTGCTTGCTCAGCGCCTTCACTGCCGAGTCCCACTTTGCACCAGGCGGGAGATGGTGCAGCAACTCGGCTGCATGTCCCCTTTTCGGGTCCTGACACGAAAAACTCCTCGCTTCGAGTTCCCAACGTCTCAGCATGCCGCGCGTGTCTCGGCGAATGTCCTCCTGCTGCTGGTCTTGGTCGACGTAAGAGTATCTCTCCTCATATTCTTCGACCTAAGCCCACTTGCCAATCACTGGGAAGTGCGTGCCTCTGGATAGCAAAAGCCACCGACATGCTTAAAGCGTTCCCAGTACTTTAGCTTGTCCCACTCCTTGCATTGGGCCCACACTTGGGGTCTCAGTGTAAAGTCTTGGACATGCCAGACGATCAAAAGGATAACGAAAGCTTCTGCGGCTCCTGCACGTCATTCTTTCCCTCGGAGTAGCCACCACGATCCTCCAGCAGTCGAGCATGCCGGCGAGCCATGCACCGTCGTGCTTTTTCACGCATGCATACGCTTGCATGCGAGGCCCGGGTCCTGGAATTTATCCCAGAATCCAGCAAACTGTTTCTTCTGTTTGTCTTTCTGGAGTCTCTCCAAGGTGTCCAGACCTCGTGAAGGAACGTCTAGCAAAGCTGGGCTGCCCGTGGGCTTGCAAGACAGGCTTGGGCTACTTAGGCTCAGCCCTTGGCGCAGGGAGTGCTGGGAGATTTCAGCAATCAAGCCCTGGTCGTCACATGCTTCGAGCGCCTCGCAGGCAAGGTCTGATTTCAGCTGGAACACAAGAGCACGCGATGGACACCAACCTTGGCTAGAGCATCCTTTGCTTTGTCTAGGAAGTCTAAATGACCGTAGCACCTCGGTGCTTCGATGGTCCTTTGCTTTCGACTCGCACTCTTATCATGACTCCGCGAAACCGGGTCCGAAACTGCGAAGCCCGAAACCACGCTTTTGCACGTGTGATCCTCGGCAAACCTGAGCTCACACCAGGCCCTGGCCAAGTCTCTGCGAAGTGCGTTCGAGTCAGATCCCGACGAAATTCCACGAGGGTCGCGCCAGCATGACCCGATTTTCGCTCTGACCTTCGCGAATTCGTGCAGAGATAAAAACCACTGCATGGATTTACGACTAAGCTTCTGACTCCTTCAGCTTATGGCGAATGTGCGGATCTGTAAATAGCATCTCATCGCGGTGATTGCCCACAAGGCACTCAAGCGCAGCATCTAGAGACTGCTGCCAATCTTTGAGCCTTGGCACGAATTCATGCCGCAGCGGCCCGCTTTGCCCAAAATCTCCAAACATCAGCTGAGGATGAGGCTTGTAAAAGCATGTGCTCTTGTTCAAGTGGAGTGTGCTTCTCATGACGACAATGTCATTCCACTTCTTCTTGCCAATGACAATGGACTTGTCGTAGGCGACTGTTAACCTAGGCGACTCTTCTGTGGGTTTGGCCGCACAGCCCGGAGAAGGCTCTATCTGGGATGCAAACAACTGCTCCAGCGCATCGTCCTTGACGCTCTGCACATGAAAGATCAGACTTTCGGGCTCAAGGTGCCGTCTTCTGTTGGAATTAAGACTCGTGAGAAGACTCGGACTCTCGGACTCTCGGGTCCGGGCATATTCGGCCAATGCCTTGTGAGGCACAGCTCTGTCTCGCTATCTCTCACTGCGCCGCTCTGTCTCAGACACGTAGATTGGGCCCCGGCCTTCTCGAAGCGCTCCTTCGCAAAGGCCTTGTTGCCCTCTCCCTTGAAAGCCTCCGCCTGGGGTGGGCAACTAGGTGAGCAGGCGGAAATCCGCTGGGCCTAGTAAAGCTCCGTGAATCGAGAAGACTTTCGCTGTCTTGGTCTAACACGGTCTAACTGGTCCGGGAGGATGGATGAGTTTCGGAGCGTTCCTGCTAGCAGCTCTCTATGCCTCGCCTGGGCTCAGCACCTTGCAACAGAAAGAAGTGTCAAGACTGCCACTGCCAGTACAGTACCTAGCACAGGCCTGGCAGGTGAATGCTGGTTGTCAGTTACTGCTCCGATCACAGACTAGAAATGCGGAAGCGCCGTACGTGTGGGAAGCCGCCGTGGGAAAAGGGCGGGCTCGGGCTTGGAGATGCTCCAGAAAGCTAGGTGTGGACGTCATGCTTACGTTTAAGCTTGCACTGCGCGTCTCAGCCGCGGGCCCTCTTCAGAAAGCCGTAGTCTTCGAAGAGGTCTCCGTACTCATCCCGCCTGAAGTAGTCTCGAGCTGCACGGCCGTACAAAGAAGGCTTACTTGTTCAACGCCACTCGGCTCACAATGGCCAATCTGCCGGAAATCAAGCTGTCAGCGCTTACAAGGCTCTCCCGGTCAGCACGTTTGAAGGATTCCAAGGTCATGGCTGAAGCCTGTCGGAGCCTCGGAAAAGCCACCGAGTGGCTGCAAGTGCGTCTTGCCAGCGCAACTTTTACTGAGCTCCTTGCCGACTTCACCAGCCATGCAGTTATTGACATTGAGTCCTTGCGAGGCAGACAGGCACCAAAGGCAGCAAAAGGAAAAGCAGAGGCAGCAAAGTGTTTAGAAACGCTATGTGCTTCTCGCTGCTTGTGGTTTGGATTCCCAAGCCTGCCTCGGCTGGTGCTCTCGGCCGAGCGCTTGAGCCGAAGCAGCGGCGAAGCAGTAAGACGAAGCGGTCATACGCAGGTTCCTTCATGACAGAGGGAAGCTTTAGACAACAATGGAAAGCTGTTGACCCCGACATTGCCCGACATTTCGGCTTTTTCTTCAACCGATGCTGCCCGCACCACGCTTGCTTCAGGCCTCTCACGAGCCGCATGAATCAAGCGCCACACAGCAAGAAAACAACGCAAATGCAGCTTATGTCCTCTGGACTTGCAAATCGATCAACAGCCCCCTCCGAACATCGCTTACAAACGCAGTAACTAAGCATGTTAAGGAGAAACTTTGGAAGTCCACACATTCGATGAATCCACACTGTGGCGCTCCAAAGCTGCGAGGTTGGCCTGCAGTCAAAGCTTAATTGGTGTGCCTTTGAACGTCTGTCGCCACGGCATTTATCATCACCTGCAATTCCGAGCTTAGTCGAGCACAGGAGATAAGCTCAGGGGGAGCAGGAAAAGTCCGGAGAACGAAGCTCCGTCGCCCGGCATCGTCCAAATCAAACATGCATCGGCGTGCCATCGCCACCTCCTTGTGCTGATGCAGAACAGCATAGTCCAACGAGGTCCTCCGGAGAGCAATAACTGATCCAAAGAACAAGCACCGTGCGACGCGTGTCCTCCCCGCGTCATCTCGGACCAGTGGATCGGCCCTCAACCTGGCAGCATGGCAGAAGCGCGCGAGGGCACGCGCGGAGTGACCAAGACCTGAGAAAGTGTTCGCAAAGACCAGCGTGGTTCGTCGCTGCTGCCCTGGGTTGCGCTGCAACTCATCGGACACTTCTGTGATGCACACACGTCTTGAGCGCAGCTCCAGTGGAGCAGCGTGTAGTTTCCAGCCTGGAAAGTGGAAGCGCGCCGAACACGCGCTGCTCAACACGAAGCGATTTCCGCTGCTTTGTTGCCGAGGGGCCCATTCCACAGCTCCCCAGCCCGACACATCGATCGCTCCCTTAAGCTCCAAGTACTCCTTCCGAGGACGGCTCCAACCCAATGTGAATGTCTGTGTTTTTCCACTTCAACCATCCCCTTCCCGAGCCTCTGGGAGCGCCGCGTCCTGCATCAAAGCCAGTCCCAGCTAAAGCTCGCTTGGGCACTCGCGGCCTCTTCCAGCCACACGTCGGGCGGCGGCGTCTTTGCACTTTGGTTCCACTGTCCGTCCTGGAGGATTGCCTCGCGTGCATAGGTGAATGGGATGTACCTTCTGTTCCCTTGTGTATAGGATGCGAACTGAGATTTTTTGAAGGCACCCCCGAAGGGACGAATCGCGCGACGACACTTTTCCGCTAAGCCGCAGGCTTGGTCCAAGGGCCCTTCGGTAAAAGGCGGTTTCAAACAACTGTAGACAAAACGTGCTTTACGCCCACTGCAGGCGCTGCAACATGGGTTTCACACCCGTGACTCTAACACCGTGACTCTAACAGCATCAGTGTGGTGAAACTTGCGCCGTGGGATCGACGTTACTGATCGTCGTCCTCATCTTTCTTGCAGCTGCTTCGCTCTCTTCTTCACAAGACTTTCGAGCGGCTGCTCCACGTCTAGCGTGCTGCTTTCTAGAGCCTCGATGTGCTTCGTTGGTTCCATGACCTTAGGTATTGGATCAGCTATCATCACATCAGTGTCAATCCATCTGACAATGTCTGTCAGCTGGTCATCCGATGGTTTGTGGACGAACCTACGATGCAGGGTCTTTCAGAGCAAAACGACAATGCGACACCCATTCCATCCCAGACTATTTGGCTGTACATGAATCCAGGATGAAGGGCGACAACGACAAACTCTCCTCTTTTCGAGGATCCATGAGCCCTCACGGCTCCAGCATTCACAGGTCACCATCACGGCGCGCTCACAAACAATCTTCCTGCGCACTATTCGGTCTGCACCTCACTACGTCACTCATGCGTCTCCCTCCGCCATCATGCTTCTCCCTTTGTCCATGTCGCCCGCTACTGTCTTTGTCCAAAAACTCCATGCCTTGTTCACGGCTCGCAGCCACTCTCAGTCATAAGAATGAATTCACTCAATTCTGTATTTGAATTCCAGGTCCAGTCATTCTTCATCGCACTGCGTGGCTTTTGTTGTTCGTCTGTGTCCTCGGAAGCAACCTCGGGCCCAGCATGCCACCATTCGCGACTCAAGGACTCGTCATGCAGCAAATTCGTCAATTCAACAAATTCAGGGGATCCCAGTCAGCCCAGGGCAACTTCCAGTCTGTATGTCAGTCCCGACCATGCCATCGCTGTTCACAGACAGGTGGCAAAACTTGGTACACTTCTCGGTTCGTGCGTGTCATCCTCGCGCAGGGGCCATGCTAATCTTCTTTGTATCGTTCCAATTTTATCGGATGATCCCCGACGCGAGGACACCACTAGGGGACCAAGGTACGAAGTGCGAAGCACAGTCTTCCGACAGTTCTTCCAGGTCGACTGCGTCTCATGCGGTTCGCCTGCTTCTCCAAAGTGTCCCGAGTATGCGGCACCGCTGCCACGCAAGACCCAGATGTTGCACCCCGGTGTGCCTGTGTGTGGGGCACCCCGAGTTGAGTCATGATGGCATTCCATCGGTAAGTACTACGTGATGCTCTCAAGATTCGCTCCTGCAAGCCGAGATTTTGAGATCTGGCCTCAAGATACGGCAAAATGAGAACATCCTCGAGACGAGAATGCTGCCTGCGAGCG